TTGTCTTTTTCCATCGTCCGATATTCTAGAGAACAGAAAACACGACGTTTCCGAAACTGTATGTTTCCGTCCTTATGTGAAATGAAAGAAGACACCTGCTCATTTGGGTCCCTTAGAAATTTTGTACATTCTCCTCCTTCACTTGGGGACGGAAACAGATACATTTACCGAAACGTCGTATTTTCTATTCTCTACAATATCTGACGATGGACAAAGTCCAAAACCGAGTAATTCTGTGTGTTATACACCATCGTCAGAACGGTCAGAACCCTTTAGAATCTGCTTTTGGAAAGATTACGAAATGAAGCTCTCCTCTGCAGAAATTATGTGACGTAGACTGCGCCGAAGGCAATGACAATTTTGACTAGGGAGCAGGTAGGAATTTGAACTAAGATCGCTGTGGCCTTCCAGCACTTCCCGGTAGAGAATGAGGAAGACAGAACATCCTGAAGCCCTGCCAATGTTCGAATCGGATAAGGTATAGGTAAAGTTCTCCCTGGCATGTACTGTCTTCGCTTGCTTGGAAACCGGGATCGTGGGTTCGAATCCCACTCAGGGCGTGGATGTTTAGTTTGTGTGTGTGCGTTTTTCTGTGTTTGTGTACAGGTAGAGGACTTGCGACGAGCTGATCACCCGCCCAAGGAGTCCTACCGAATGTGTAAGATCTAGAAAAACCGAAGTGAACGGAGAAGTTCATGGAGTTAGGCCTAGGCCCACTGGGGCTGTAGTGCCAAGGATAAAAGTTCTCCCTGTGTTTAATTAATTAAGCACCTACTTATAAAAATGTATTGGGGAGTACAGTTATATGTAGAGGTCTGTTGACCTCGGGAGTAGATGGAGGTAAGTGTTCTCAGCCGATTTGCCTCCGGAGAAAAGTCCCATGCCCCCATTCGAATCGTGTACCTTCCGTGCACAAGCCTAGAGCGATACAACTGTGTTAACCTGTTCTGTTCAAAATAACTCAAAGGAACTGAGAAGGTAATCTTAATAATGGATTGTAGAAAAGTGGGTTGTAAGTTGGAATAAATTTCTTAAGGACGTAACTCGGCGGTGGTTGGTATTTCATATCAGTTGTACTCCATGAGAGTCATTTTCCAACAGGAACGTTAAACCGATACCTAGTTGGAGAGACCTAAGGGAAAACGTGAAGTTCATAATGATGGTGAGTAATTACTTCAATGGGCCGCGGCTCAAGCGGTTAGTCGCTGGCTTCCCATCGGGGCGGCCCGGTTTCGATCCCGGGTCTAGTCAAGTGGGATTTATGGAGGACAAAGTGGCGCCGGGGCATGTTTTCTCCGTATACTTCAGTTTACCTTGCCAATCTTCATTCCACCAATTACTCCACAATCACCCTCACCTATCATCTGGGGCTGGTACAATAGGCCAGAAGTGGCCGCAGTACAAGGGACTTAGTCCCACCCCACTAGCAATAAAAAAATTACTTCAAAGGCAGTATCACAGAAATTATCAACATAAGGAAAACCGCAAGGATATTTTTCTCCAGTCCACAGACAGGAAGCAGATGCAGAAACGGACGTTAGCCGTGGTAACGCAATATTGTTGTGGGTAGTGCCATACTCAAGACGTGAAGCTGTGCTCTAAGATGGCAGTAGAAAGGTGTAGGACATCCAAAATTCTATTTTTCATACGGTACTGTCCCTCCCGTTCTTTAACTAAGAGATTGATAAGTTCAGGAAAGCCAACCTCACCACACACAATACTGCACAAGACGCTAAATGTTATTTTTCCATGTACATCATGTTTAAAATAAAATTTATAGATATCAATTAGGCGTGTATTTTATTTGCATATCAGCGGCCTCCGTAGTCTAGAGGTAACGTTCCCACCTCATGACTCGTAGTACGCGGGTTCAAATACCCGGCGGAGGTCGTAGAATTTTTAAGGGCGGAAATTTTCAGGGAACAAGTCCTCCGGGAGGGACTTTAAGCCGTGGGTCCCGTGTCGTAGCTTTACGGCACGTAAAAGAACCTCATATCTCCAAAGGAGGTTACTGAGCCAAATTAACGGACGTTTCCCGCCCAACAGCAGTCTCTAATACCTCTGGTGGGTGGGGGAAGCATTATAGATACCTCTCAGCTAGTAGAGCCGGTATCGCTGTCTGGGCGGGACTGATGGTAAGCACCAGTACCGGTAGGATATAGAGACTGGTAGAAATCATAGAGGGAAGCACAATGGACCAATACAGGTCTCAGTGCATTGGGAAACCCACCCTCTCCAATAACTAACTAACTATTTGCATATCAGTGCTTTTGCATGATTATCCGATTATTTATATTTGACAATTGGAGACCAGAATTAAATTCGGCTGACAGTTTACATTGTAGACTTTCCAATATCAAATTTAAAAGAATACGTTGACGTTTCCGAAGAAACGTCTTCACAGACAAGCACAGCATCTCTTGTGTTCATCTCACGCCCTTTATTAGCAAGAAGCACACAAAAATATAAACATCATTACTCTGATCAGAAGTTGGGATAGCTCAGTCGGTATAGTGAAGGGCTACAGTTTGAAGGGCCGGGGTTCGATTCCCGACAAAGGCAAAATTTTTCTCTTCTCCACATTGTCCAGACCGGATCTGGGACTCACCCAGCCCCTTACTCAATGGGTACAGAGTTATTTTTCTCCGGGGGTAAAACGGCCGGGGCGTGAACATGATCACTCACCTCCAATAAGTGTCGAGGTCAAGAACGGCGGAGCTACAATTCCACTCCTTCACATATCTTCATGGAATAGTGCTTAAATAATTAAGCACCGGGACAACTTCACCTTAATCTGGCCCCTCATATTGGGCCCTGCTTCATCTTAAGAGGTTTCCGTTTTCTGTTACTTTAAGTTCCACTTGAATATTATTTGAACTGCATGTTTTTCTCTCCGTTGGCCTACACCTTCAATCCAAAACAGTTTACGTCATCTATTATCTCCGTGCATGCTACATGTTCATGATTTAGTGACAATGAAGATACCGGGTGACCAGAAACTGTATCTATTATTAAGCTCCACAATACTGTATATCATGTTTTCCACCCTCCTGCTATTCCACTTCCCTTAGGCCCAATTATTCTCATCTATACTTTGTTTTCGGCATGCACCGTCTTCGCTCGCTCAGAAGCCGGGATCGTGGGTTCGAATCCCACTCGGGGCATGGATGTTTGTGTGCGTTTTTCTGTGTTTGTGTACAGGTAGAGGCCTTGCGATGAGCTGATCACCCGCCCAAGAAGTCCTACCGTATGTCTAAGATCTAGTAGTAAAAAACGAAGTGAACGGAGAGTTACATGGAAGTAGGCCTAGGCCCAAATGAGGGCTGTAGGGCCAATGAAAAAATTTTCAAATTTTTAAATACAGTCTGCCCTTCGTCCAACTGCGAGACAAAATGTTATTCGCACGTAAGACTTCGGGGACAATTAGAACTTGTACACTTACACCTGTACTACATGGTAAGAAAACGAGAAAATACGTACATTCGAGGGTTTACTCCGGTATTTCATTTTCTTCATTCACGTTCGAACCACTTTCGAGACTAAATTGACCTTCGCAAGTGTTTGTGTTCCAGGTCCTTGATCTCATTATCCCGAAGAAGTATGTTGAAGTGAAGGACCTGGCTATGAAGACCTGCAGCAACGCCCACGGAGGGCTTGAGCTGCAGAACATCCACGTGTTCAACAATGGAAAGGGAGAAATCGAGATATCTGGGAAAGTGAATATAATGACTTTCCTGTCTGCACCTATCACGGTAGGAACCCCTCACTGCCTCTCATACCGCTGCTCCTGCACCCTTCTACTTGTTAGGAATTGTAATGTTGTTCTTCAAGAACAATTGAAAGTTCAGAAAGAATTCCTGACGCCTTCTTGAATCCTGGACAATGAACTTCGTGTGATAGGGCCCTTCTTTAGAAGCTGATAATGGTTCAGCTAGTCAAGAAATTCCGCGCTTTCGTGGAACTGCAAGGTTCATTACAGTGTTCAACAAAACTCTGCCATTGAACCATATTCAGGCAAAAAAAAAATCAAGTCCACAACCCCACAGCCTATGTATTTAACACAATACGTTTGAATGGCCCCCCTCCCCAAGTCTATTCCTATATATAAAGGATGATCTCTTCCCTTTAGGTTTTCCGAAAACAATTTTTTAAGTGTGCTACATGTGCCAGCCATCACATATGTAATGATCATTATAACAGTATCTGGTAAAGAGTATGATAATTTATTAAGTTATTCATTATGGAATTTTCTCCATCTTCCTGCTTCATAGCAACATAGGTTTAAATATTCACCTCAGAACTTAGCTTTTAGACCCCTCCCTTTATGCGAGTGATCAAGCTTCACACTGCAGAGAGCGGAAGGAGGCAAAACATTCTGAACTGGATAATGGGAAATATTCCCCTATTTCCGTCCGCTCTTAACTTCTTCGTGAACGTAATTTTAATTTATTACCGTCATTCCGAATGTCCAAAGTCTACACGATTTCGAAAGATCAGCTTTCTTTAATTTTGTTCTGACTTCTGATGATGAGGTACTTGGAATTATGTGTGCTATTTCTAGATTAACCTTTTTTTATTGCTAGTGGGGTGGGACTAAGTCCCTTGTACTGCGGCCACTTCTGGCCTATTGTACCAGCCCCAGATGATAGTTGAGGGTGATTGTGGAGGAGTTGGTGGAATAAAGATCGGCAGGGGAAACCGAAGTACTCGGAGAAAACCCGCCCCGGCGCCACTTTGTCCACCACAAATCCCACTTGACCAGACCCGGCATCGAACACGGACCGCCGAGGCGGGAAGCCAGCGTCTAAACGCTTGAGCTATGGTGCGGCCCAGATTAACCTTTTCTAGCGTCTAATACAGTGTCTGTACTTCTCCTTAAGGCATTAGCCTGTATGCTGATGTAGCGTAGTTGGTTAAGGCACTACGCTACAAGCCGGATGGTTGCAGGCCCGAGTCTCGATGAGGTGCATTTCTTAATTGACCTAACCCTTCCAGCCGCAGTGTGGCCCTGGGGTCGACTTAGCCTGTAACAGAAATGAGCACCAGGAATCTGCCTGGGGGGTAAAGCGCGGCCGGCGCGTAAGGCTGACAACCTCACTGCCATCTGTGAGCTGATTGTCTAGAAAATGTGGGAGCCTCGACGTCTCATAACCCTATGGGCCTCCGCGGCCTGTTACAGGGATAGCTTTGCCTTTTAGTGATGTTTCCATTCGCAATGTACATGAAACAGACTGTACTGTGTGAAATAGGCAAAGGTGTCGATGGAGCGCCAAGTGTTTGGGGTGTGGGTGAGAGTACCCTGCATTAGAGATTTTGGATCCTGTATCTACGAGGACCTGTGTAACTATGGCTACGATGAAGATACGTCATGTCCTGCGTCCTTTGTTCAAGATCGTGTCCCCTGCCGTTGTCCTGTTGAAAAGGTTAGAAACTTCGTTAAACTTAATTATCTGTTGTTCAGATCAGTGTCTGGTGGTTTGCCTGAATTACGAATTGTATTTCTTGCAGGGGCTGTACAAGATTCCTAGCGACGTGAGAATATCTGCGGATGGCAACCACTGGGCAGGCCTCGTTAGTGGAAAATACAGGGCCACAGCGACGTTCACACACAATAAGTACGAAATGGCCTGCTACACCGCCTCGTTTACTCTCAAAGCAGTCCCAAAGTAAATCACTGCAATTAGCACTGTAAGACTCACATGTAAATGCAAAACGCAGTCACTGAAATAAACGTGATTTAGTAATCCATACTCTAAAACGTAAATTTAACTACACGTGTATACTGACTGCCTCTTCAGATCAACCAGTTCCTTGTGTGTATGTGTGTGTAAATGGGATCCATAACCGGACTCA